AACAAAAATGACGATTTACTGGCTAGGCAAAGATCTCCAGCCAGGAAGAGAACCCTGGCAATAAAGTAGAACCTTGGGGCAGTATCGCCTTTTAAGTTCATGAGCTATTGTTATTTATTATACATGTATTGCAATTTGATGTTTAAAACCATTACATTACAACACTGATATTCTGTTTGTATCAACTAGACATTTCTATTCATAATGTTCACAGCACCATATCAAATTGGAGACTGAGCCGTCTTCTCTTTTTATCAAACTTTCCCATGAAAAATATAGATTCATATTGCACTGCAGGAATCTATTATTTCTGAAATTACTTTGAAGTTTGTATTCTCAAATAAATTTGGAGAACTTGAAGAATTCAATCCCTTATCAGTCACCTGTATGAACAACCCACCAACGCTCACAACTTAGGCTTTTTTCAGCTTAACACAGTATGGTGTCAGAAGTGTGTAGTGCTCCTGTTCCATTCTAGCATGCTGGTTTTGACTGTGATCTATTTTCCTTGTCTATCTGTCCACCTGCAAGGTGATTGATGTGGCCAGTCTCTGGATGGTGACCAAAGCGGTTTTATAAGCCAGCCAAGCCTGCAGTCTCAGGCTTGTGATAGTATTTAACATGTGCTTCAAGCTTCCTGTTTGTCTGTCCTGTTCCTGCTAGTTTGGATTCTCTTGTTGACGACCTTGGATTAGATATTGACTACACTCAGAACTCAGTCTGCCCTGAACCTGGACTGTGTTTGACCACTTGCCTGTCTGCCAACTGCATGTACCTGTTCACTGTGCTCAGTTTGCACCTGCCCCGGCATGGTAACCAAGCACTATAGCATTATGTATAAGACCTGGGGGCAACCGAGTACCGGTAGGACTGCTTGCCTTATGGGAAAGTAGGCTGCTATAGGTAAAGAACAAAGAAGTCAGCTATAGTGCCTGACCACCTGTGTTAGGGGTAAGCTTGACAATGGCTTGAGACACCCATTAGAATTTAGATGGAAGATGCTAGATGATTGCTATTGGTAACAGGCAGGTTTCTTTCAGACACTTGATATGCATTCCTGAAGAAAAATAGTTGGGCGGGGCTTACTACATCACTTCCGCATTCCTATTTCTGGTCCGTGGACAGCAGGTGGCTCCAGAAAGTGGTTTAAATGCTCTGTGACTTGTGTATACAGTATACAAACACTGTTATTGAGTAAGTGTATTTTAATTGTTTTAAATTGCCAAGTCCCCTTCAATATTTCAGCTGGTAGAGCGGAGGACTATAGAGACAAAAATAACTTGCCAATAAATGTGGAATTACACTATTGGAGGTTACCTCCTGTTTTTTTTTTCCCTTTGCATATACAAACTAGAGGAAATTTTATGAAGACGTGGACCTGGGAAGAGTATCTGGATAAAGCTGATAGAGGGAAGATACACTCTTAAAGTGCTAAAGACAAAGACCCATTTATAGGGGGTCATAGAGATTTGGTGAGTGTTCACAGCGGGAGCACACATCGGTCACAATAAGTGAAGATATTGGATTTTCTACTTCTGGGCACAAGGCACTTTTTAAGAAGTACTTTATCAACTCCGAATCTCAACACTCTTTATTGGATATCTGTACCTCACACAGAGACTTGTGTTGCTGACTTTTGCACAGAATTTATATTGTAGGAAACTTCCCATTGGAAGTTTTTCCTCTACTCCTGTTCTGGTAAATGCCTGCAGTATCAATGTTAGATTCAGCTATTTGTAGGAACCAGCTGAAACACCAAAAGAGCTGATTTGTTTACTAAGCATAAATATATGTTTTATTGAGCAAATCAAAAACTTGTGAATTTTGGTAATGCATTATTAAACATCAAATGTAAAAACGTGAACACAATAAGCACAAAAGATGAACATCTACAGTGCGTTGAGTTAACAGTATTCACAAACTATTAGTGGTAGAAAAACACTGACAGTTTTTAATGAAGCTTGGAGTTCAATATTTTAGCTTGAAGATGCCGAACACAAAAAAAAAAAAAGAAGGTATCAGCACCTACCCTGGTTGAATCCGTGATCTCCATCTGGCCCAGAAGCTTGCCATTAATGCTAAAGTTGCAAAACCGGCCTCTTTCATAATATATAATACAATGACCCTCACTGGAAACCGAAATCAAACGAGGGTATAAGCAATTCTCTGGGCCCTCCAGTGCTCTGAGTAGATCTCCAGTGATGGTGTGGACCAAGCATGGACCCTCTGAGGGAAAAAAAATTATGAAAAAGATTGCTTAGCATCATACTAGAGCTAGAGAAGAACAAGTTGTCACACATATGACTCAACTAGATTTAATGTTCAAAATCCCCATGACAATGTTCATATAGGAGCTGGATGCAGAAGCTCATTCAAGTAATTTAGCTCTTGTGTAAAAATGTCTCATTGTTCCATCAAATTCAGGTAAATAAGACAATTTGAAGCTAGTTTACTAAAATAATTGAGAATGATCACAGAATAAATGCAATGATCACAATTATACAAGTATTTGCAGATGAAAGAAGTAAACAGGTGTTTTCTTTCTACATGACTGGATAATTGAAGTGAATCTTCACAACATTTATTGTATGAACATTCCCAAAATCAGCCTCTCCGTGTTCACTGTGAGGCATCACAGTCCAATGCAGGCCAACCCTCCATCTAGCCCTGTGGCAATACACTCTACTTAGCTGGCCATAGATGGATTGTACCTCTGCCGTTTCAGAAGGGACCAGCTGAGATTTGCCCCATTTATGGGCAGGCTGGTTGTATTGAAGTGGATAAATCAAGCCTGTTGGATTTTTTGCTTGTGATGACTGCCGGCAGCTATTGCCGCTAGCAGTGATCACTGTGTTCTGCCAGCAAGGAAGGCGCCCTGCTGACAGAACACAATAGCACTGCGGGAGGGATTGGAGGAAAGAAAATCTCATCATCTATGGCTTGCCTTAGGCTGGATAGTAGCAGTGATATAAGGTAAACAATAAATGGTAAATAGGTGTAGTACAGAATAAACCCATTACAAGTTATTGTAATGCAGAATAAATCATATAGAAAAGGAAAGCATGTAGAATGCAAACTTCAAGCATACTGCAGGCAACCTTGGTTCTTTTTCAGAGTGTGTAGCATTATTGGATCCCGGGAACACATGACAAGTCCAACAAGTTTATACAAAATGGTATAACAAAAGCCTTATGAAGAACTAAGTTCTTCTGTTCATCATTTTAGCCATTATATATACAAACTCCTCAGCCACTAAAATATAGAGGAAACTGGTTGTTTGAAAAGACAGTTTTTTTTTTTTTTTCTTATTGTTAACAACTAATGCTCCTTGACCCAGAATAGCTACATGTGTAGGTTTTGCTTTAAAATACCCAATACCCTTTCTGCACCTATTTGCCATAGTATGATAAGAAAGAAAACAGCAAGGAAAGGAAAATTAAGTGTAAGAAAGCACACATTAATGAAGAAAAGGAAGCAAGTTAAGAAAACACAAACACACACAAACATATACTATCTAAAATAAGCAAAGCATCATTCATTTATTCTCTAATCAACAAGGAGATTTTTGTCTCTCTATATTTCTAAAATCAATTATCTTCAAATTAGGTGCAGACATCTGCTCGGTCTGATTACTACATCTTTCCATGTTCTATGTTTCGATAAGCTTAATACGTGGATAGCACATATGTTAAGATACAAACATCAATGCAAACACAGTAGCCACTGACACACGGCACAAGAAAAGAGCTAAATTATTCAAAGCAAATTGTAGGACATTCAGACAAGGTCAGTGGGCTGTGAGGGAGGAAGTCGTACACATATTTACTACATGATTCTCTGCGGCACTCCTCCATTGTCTCTGAAAGTTAGAACACAGATGTAAAGAAAATGCGCCCTTTCTGGGTGATCACCCCTTTTGTTCTTTCAATGAATTGTGGATTATTCACTCCTGGCTGCACGTAAATGAAAGTAATTTGGCAGCTCAAAAAAAAAGTCACTGAGAGGTCTGTAATATTGTGAAGAGTACATCTCACATAATCATTGTTTTCCTGAAAAGCACAATATTAAACTCATTCTATGTGGCCTTTCTCTCTTGTAGCCTTTTAACATAAAACAAATTAAGTTTAACTGTAAATAATCGATAAGCAATGCTTCAAGTAGTTACCTACTACTAGATGTTTTTATTGCTCCTAACTGATACCTGATAACAAGGGCTACAAGTGTCATTACAGAGTGAGGACTGATCATTAAATGATTTATCCCTCCTTTTACATACACTATTTTGCCAAAAGTATTGGGATGCCTGCCTTTGCACGCACATGAACTTTATTGGCATCTCAGTCTTAGTCCGTAGGGTTCAATATTGAGCTGGCCCACCCTTTGCAGCTATAAACAGCTTCAAATCTTCTGGGAAGGTGTCCACGAGGTTTAGGAATGTGTCTATGGGAATGTTTGACCATTCTTCTAGAAGTGCATTTGTGAGGTGAGGCACTGATGTCGGACGAGAAGGCCTGGCTCGCAGTCTCCGTTCTAATTCATCCCAAAGGTGTTCTATCGGATTGAGGTCAGGACTCTGTGCAGGCTAGCAAAGTTCCTCTACCCCAAACTCGCTCATCCATATCTTTATGGACCTTGCTTTGTGCACTGGTATGTTGGAACAGGAAGGGGCCACCCCAAACTGTTCCCACAAAGTTGGGAGCATGAAATTGTCCAAAATATCTTGGTATGTTGGCGTCTTAAGAGTTCCGTTCACCAGAACTAAGGGGCCAAACCCAACTCCTGAAGAACCTCACACCATAATCCCCTCTCCACCAAACGTTACACAACGCAGTCAGGCAAGTGCTGTTCTCCTGGCAACCACCAAACTCAGACACGTCCATCAGATTGCTAGACAAATAAGCATGATTCATCACTCCAGCGGACACATCTCCACTGCTCTAGAGTCCAGTGCCGGTGTGCTTTACACCACTGCATCCAACACTTTGCATTGCACTTGGTGAGGTAAGGCTTGAATGCAGCTGTTCAGCCATGGAAGCCTATTCCGTGAAGCTCTCTACACACTGTTGTTGTGCTAATCTGAAGGCCACATGAAGTTTGGAGGTCTTCAGCTATTGACTCTGCAGACAGTTGGTGACTTCTCCGCACTGTGCTGACCCTGCTCTGTCATTTTACGTGGCTGAGTTGCTGTTGTTCTCAGTTGCTTCCACTTTGTTACAGTATCTCACAGAAGTGAGCACACCCCTCGCATTTTTGTAAATATTTTATTATATCTTTTCATGTGACAACACTGAAGAAATGACACATTGCTACAATGTAAAGTAGTGAGTGTACAGCTTGTATAAAAGTGTAAACTTGCTGCCCCTCAAACTAACTCAACACACAACCATTAATGTCTAAACTGCTGGCAACACGAGTATACCCTTAAGTGAAAATGTCCAAATTGGGCCCAAAGTGTCAATACTTTGTGCGGCCACCATTATTTTCCAGCACTGCCTTAACCCTCTTGGGCATGGAGTTCACCAGAGCTTCACAGATTGCCACTGGAGTCCGCTTCCACTCCTCCATGATGACATCACAGAGCTGGTAGATGTTAGAAACCTTGCGCTCCTCCACCTTCCATTTGAGGATGCCCCACAAATACTCAATAGGGTTTAGGTTTGGAGACATGCTTGCCCAGTCCCATCACCTTTACCCTCAGCATCTATAGCAAGGCAGTGGTCGTCTTGGAGTCGTGTTTGGGGTCGTTATCATGTTGGAATACTGCCCTGTGGCCCAGTCTCCAAAGGGAGGGGATCATGCTCTGCGTCAGTATGTCACAGTACATGTTGGCATGCATGGTTCCATGAACTGTAGCTCCCCAGTGCCAGCAGTACTAATACAGCCTCAGACCATGACACTCCCACCACCATGCTTGACTGTAGGCAAGACACACCTGTCTTTGTACTCCTCACCTGGTTGCCGCCATATACGCTTGACACCATTTGAACCATATAAGTTTAAGGTTTCATCAGACCACAGGACATGGTTCCAGTAATCCATGCCCTTAGTCTGCTTGTCTTCAGCAAACGGTTTTGTGGGCTTTCTTGTGCATCATCTTTAGAAGAGGCTTCCTTCTGGGACGACAGCCATGCAGACCAATTTGATACAGTGTGCAGCGTATGGAGCACTGAAAGGTGACCCCCCACCCCTTCAACCTCTGCAGCAATGCTGGCAGCACTCATACGTCTATTTCCCAAAGACAACCTCTGGATATGACGTTGAGCATGTGCACTCAACTTATTTGGTTGATCATGGTGAGACCTGTTCTGAGTGTAACCTGTCCTGTTAAACCGCTGTATGATCTTGGCCACCGTGCTGCAGCTCAGTTTCAGGGTCTTGGCAGTCTTCTTATAGACTAGGCCATCTTTATGTAGAGTAACATTTCTTTTTCTCAGATCCTCAGAGAGTTCTTTGCCATGAGGTGCCATGTTGAACTTTCAGTGACCAGTATGAGAGTGAGAGCGATAACACCAAATTTAACACACCTGCTCCCCATTCACATCTGAGACCTTGTAACACTAACGAGTCACATGACACTGGAGAGGGAAAATGGCTAATTAGGCCCAATTTGGACATTGTCACTTAGGGGTGTACTCACTTTTGTTGCCAGCGGTATAGATTAGCCATACATTAATGGCTGTGTGTTGAATTATTTTGAGGGGACAGCAAATTTACAGTTATACAAGCTGTACACTAACTACTTTACATTGTAGCAAAGTGTAATATCTTCAGTGTTGTCAAATGAAAAGATATAATAAAATATTTACAAAAATGTGAGGGGTGGACTCACTTCTGTGAGATACTGTATAACACCACTAACAGTTGACCGTGGAATTTTTAGTAGCAAGGAAATGTCATGGATGGTCTTACTGCACAAGTGGCAACCTATCACAGTACCAGGCTTGAATTCACTGAGCTCCTGAGAGTGACCCATTCTTTCACAAATGTTTGTAGAAGCAGTCTGCATACCTAGGTGCTTGATTTTATACAACCGGGGCCATGGAGGTGATTGGAACACCTGAATACAGTATTGGGTTGTCCCAATACTTTTGGCAATATAGTGTAAATCGGATTGTTATTAAATTAACAATAAGGTGCTGAGATGGCCCTTCCTTCACTATACAGGAGTATTCAGCTTTCACAAGTCAAGGGGATCTCCACATGACTACCTTTGTGGCAGTACTTTGTAGTCTTTGCTTATCGCTATTCAACTCAGCATTACCAATTAAATGAACAGAGTACTGGGTAAAGCTTTCAGACTGCTGGATCTTTTCTGATGCTGTTTGTGATCCCCAAATTTCTTGTAACAGGTAAAGCAGCCCTTGGAATATGATTTGCTCACACATACAAGTTGTATTCCCTAATAATGTAGTGACCCCTGTCTCACCCCTAATAGGGATCTCATATGGCCAAGAACACAGATAGCTGTTCCTAAATCGAAGGAGCTCTGGAAATCAATTACAAACTGGTGAGACCAAATTGCTCACAATAATAATCAGAATAGGGGAACAGAATGGCTCATTCCAGCCCAGCGTGAATTAGACCTCTATAATATGAAATAGAAAGATTATCTTTCAGTTGTATTTAAAGGAAACAATGTGTTAAAGAGTCAGTCCTAAAAAAGACAAATGGTGAAATTTCTCAGCTCTGACTTCCCTGTTGAAGTTAACTTCTCCTTATAAATGAAACGTTCAACAGGCAGTTGAACATCTCCTTTGGAATGGGAATATCACATTGTGACAACTTGAGGCTCAGATCTTATACAAATTGTATAGTTGAAGTTCCTGATTACAGTGAACCTATTCATCTGATCCAGAATCCATCTGAATAAATATTAGTTTTGGATTTATTCATTTTATTTATTTCAGGAACTTATATAGCGCTGTCAATTTACGCAGCGCTTTACATACAGAGGATAAAATAAGTATTGAACACATCACCATTTTTCTTGGTAAATATATTTCTAAAGGTGCTATTGACATGAAACTTTCACCATGTCGGCAACAACCTATGCAATCCAAATATACAAAGAAACCAACACAAAAGTTCAGAAATTAGGTAATGTGTAATAAAATGGAATGACAAAGGGAAAAAGTATTGAACACATGAAGAAAAGGAGGTGCAAAAAAGCATAGAAAGCCAAGACGCCAGGGGAAATCTATCAGTAATTAGAAAGCAATCCTGCCCCTTTGCAGTGCAAATTAATATCAACTGGTTCAGTCTCAACTGATGGCCTGTAAAATTCTGTCTTATTACCAAGGTGTCACACAAGAAACATTTCATGATGGGTAAAAGCAAAGAGCTCTCTCAAGACCTTCGCAACCTTATTATTGCAAAAAATACTGATGGCATTGGTTACAGAAGGATTTCTAAACTTCTGAATTTTCCAGTGAGCACTGTTGGGGCCATATGTCGGAAGTGGAAAGAACATCATTTCACCATAAACTGGCCATGACAGGTGCTCCTCACAAGATTTCTGACAGAGTAGTGAAAAGAATTATCAGAAGAGTTGTCCAAGAGCCAAGGACCACTTGTGGAGAGGCTATGGAAGACCTGGAATTAGCAGGTTCAATTGTTTCAAATAAAACAATAGGTAATGCACTCAACCACCATGGCCTGTATGCACACTCACCATGCAATACTCCACTGCTGAAGAAAAAGTGAGTTGAAGCTTGTTTAAAAAGTTTGCTGCACAACATTCACACAAGCCTGTGAAATACTGGGAGAATATAGTCTGGTCAGATGAGACCAAAATTAAATTCTTTGGATGCCATAATACACACCATGTTTGAAGGTCAAATGGCACTGCACATCACCCCAAAAACACCATACCAACAATGAAGTTTGGAGGTGGGAACATCATGGTGTGGGGCTGCTTGTCAGCAGACGGTACTGGCAAACTTCATATCTTTGAAGGAAGGATGAATGCAAAAAATGTACCAAGATATTCTTGATAAAGATTTACACCCATCTACCAGGATGATGAAGATGAAACGATGGTGGACATTTCAACAAGACAATGATTCCAAACACAAAGCCAAGGAAACTCAACTGGTTTCAAAGAAAGAAAGAAAATAAAGCTGCTAGAATGACTCAGCCAAACACCTAACTGGAATCCAATTGAAAATCTATGGAAAGAATTAAAGATCAGAGTTCATAGAAGAGGCCCACAGAACCTTCAAGATTTGAAGACTGTGTGTGGAAGAATGGACCAAAATCACACCTAAGCAATGCATGCGACTAATTTCTCCATACAGGAGGCATTGTGAGGCTGTCATTACCAACAAAGGATTTTGTACAAAGTATTTAATACATTTCAGTTAGCGTGTTGAATACTTTTTCCTTGTGTCATTCCATTTTATTACAGATAACTGAATTTCTGAACTTGTTTGTTTCGGTTTCTTTGTATGTACAGATTGCATGGGTTGTTACCAACATGTGGGGAAAATATCATGCAATAGCACCTTCGTAAATATATTTACTGAGAAAAATGGTGACGTGTTCAATACTTATTGTACTCGCTGTGTATAGTGTACATTCACATTCCTTCCTACTCTCCAGGAGCTTACAATCTAAGGTCCCTAACTCACATTCATAGACACACATACTAGGGCCAATTTTAGACAGGAGCCAATTAACCTACCAGCATGTCATTGGAGTGTGGGAGGAAACCGGAGTACCCAGGCACAGGGAAAACATGCAAACTTCAGGCAAGTAGTGCTGTGACTGAGATATGAAACGATGACCCTATTCCCACTAGGCGGAAGTGCTAACCACTTAGCCATTTTTAACTGAATATTTCTGATACGTTTTAACTGACTTATTTCAGTATACACTGTATGTGCTTTATTAAAAGATGCCAAAAATATAGATTTCAAAAGTTGACACATACAGTGCATCCAGAAAGTATTCACAGCGCTTAACTTTTGCCACATTTTGTTATGTTACAGCCTTATTCCAAAATGGATTAAATTCATTTTTTTTCCTCAACATTCTACAAACAATACCCCATAATGACAACATGAAAGAAGTTTGTTTTCAAATCTTTGCAATTTATTAAAAAAAACAAAAAAAAACCACCTGTACATAAGTATTCACAGTCTTTGCTCAATACTTTGTTGAAGCACCTTTAGCACCAATTACAGCCTCAAGTCGTTTTGAGTATGATGCTACAAGCTTGGCACACCTATTTTTGGGCAATTTCACCCATTCTTCTTTTCAGTACCTCTCAAGCTCCATCAGGTTGGATGGGGAGTGACGGTGCACAGTCTTTTTCAGATCTCTCCAGAGATGTTCAATCGCGTTCAAGTCTGGGCTCTGGCTGGGCCACTCCAGGACATTCACAGAGTTGGGCTGTAGCCACTCCTTTGTTATGTGGGCTGTGTGCTTAGGGTCATGGTCCTGTTGAAAGATGAACCGTCACCCCAGTCTAAGGTCCTGCCGCTGAAAAACATCTCCACAGCATGATGCTGCCACCACCATGCTTCACTCTAGAGATGGTATTCGCCAGGTGGTAAGCAGTTCCTGGTTTCCACCAGACATGACGCTTGGCATTCAGGCCAAAGAGTTCAATCTTTGTTACATCAGACCAGAGAGTTTTGTTTCTCATGGTCTGAGAGTCCCTCAGGTGCCTTTTGGCAAACTCCAGGCGGGCTGCCATTTGCCTTTTACTGAGGAGTGGCTTCTGTCTGGCCACTCTACCATACAGGCCTGATTGGGGGAGTGCTGCAGAGATGGTTGTTCTTCTAGAAGGTTTTCCTCTCTCTCCACAGAGGAACGCTGGAGCTCTTTCAGATTGACCATCAGGTGCTTGGTTACCTCCCTGGCTAAGGCCCTTCTCCCTCGATCGCTCATTTTGGCAGGGGACGAACTGCTCTAGGAAGATTCCTGGTGGTTCCAAACTTATTCCATTTACGGATGATGGAGGCCACTGTGCTCATTGGGACCTTCAATGCTGCAGACATTTTTCTGTACCCTTCCCCAAATCTGTGCCTTGATACAATCCTGTCTCGGAGGTCTACGGACAATTCCTTGGACTTCATGGCTTGGTTTGTGCTCTGACATGCACTGTTAACTGTGGGACCTTATATAGACAGGTTTATGCCTTTCCTAATCATGTCCAATCAACTGAATTTCCCACAGGTGGACTCCAATCAAGTTGTGGAAACATCTCAAGGTAGATCAGTGGGAACAGGATGCACCAGAGTTCAATTTTGAGTGTCATGGCAAAAGCTGTGAATACTTATGTACATGTGGTTTTATTTTTTTGTTTTTTATTTTTATTAAATTGCAAAGATTTCATTATGGGTTATTGTTTGTAGAATGTTGAGGAAAAAAATTAATTTAATCCATTTTGGAATAAGGCTGTAACATAACAAAATGTGGCAAACGTTAAGCGCTGTGAATGCTTTCTGGATGCACTGTACATAGATAAAAAAATGTAAATTTCAGGAAAAAACAGGATAAGGGAACACATTGATTAAAAGTACTTTGGTGATGCAGCAATGTGGATTCCATGTATATTTACAAATTTATGCAACTAAAACTTGTTTTTAACCTATTTTGAACAGATTAGTGGGGTTGTTTTTGCTGGTTAACTTGAATGTGTGCTGGGGACCCTTTTTGTATAATTTGTATTAACTGATTTATTTCAACATGTGTAATATAAAAAGGAGTGCCAAAAAACATGTTTTAAGAATACCACACATAAACCAGAAATATTAAACAAAACAGGATAAAGACAGCCAGCCAGCGAGTTAACCGAAAAAGTGGCAGCCGGTAAAGCTAAAGTTTCAAATAGATTTGTGTCCAAAATGAGATTTACTCATGTCAGATAACCAGGGAAACTGAAATAAATAATAGACTGACTATTACATTAAAAAGGAAACCTACTCAATTAGACTGAGTGGCTTGTAACAGCTTTTACTGAAGCTAAGGTAGACACTAACAGGCGTGTCCCTCTATACGGGAGGTGGATCCTGATCAAAGCCACAGACAGCTT